CAATGAAGGGGGTACTGTGATACTGAATCCAGACACTTTCCTTTCTAAATTTTTCGCCTGTTTCCTTGGTAAATTAAGCCAGCATACGTTTTGGCCAGACTCCCTCTCCTCCACAGGAATGGTGTAATTCTGTGGCTCTTCAAAAAGCAGTACTGGGGTGGGTTGGAGCATGACTCACTCACAAGGTGAAGCAACGGCACAGGAATGCATTCTGACCAATCGCAAAGTGCACGCTCACCTAGTACACACGAACACCCAAGAGCCACTTTAGCTTAAAACGTTACTCACAGACACACCAAACTGGACACTTTTCGTTGCCGTGCCAAAATCGAAATCATAATAGAGGCATTAAGATAACCACAAGGACAAAAAAGAGAACTGTATGGTCCTCCTCAGGTAAACATCACGCGGTCTAAAAAGAGTGGTCACCATGCTAACCGCAAGAGCCTTTTGACTCAATTTGAACGATCAGTGGTATATAGATAAAAAAGTGGCCACCATGCCCAGACCGTAAGGAGCCAGCTTTAACGTGGGACGCCATAGCGGTGCAATCCTGTTGGTCTCCAATTGACGTTCGTGTGATGAGCAAATTGAGATAAACAACAAAAGTTCTCACCAAACACATCCTTCATGGGTGGTTTCAGGAGGCCAAAAAAATAAAAGAATTTGAAATAAAGAAATCAAAAATAAAATAAATAAGCAAGAAAAAACAAAAGAAATTATGATTGTAAAAAATATTAAAAGGTCTACTGCACACCGAGCACGAAAAGCCCACCACGCTCTCATACATCGTATACCATACAGCATGCACCCGAATATATCTAAACAAACCACTCACCATTGCAGCACACGAAGGCACACAAGACCAAAAAAGTGACACGATGCTCCCTTTGCTGGCCAGTGCTGAATGTGCCACAACTGCCGGTATCTAATATGAGTGCAAAAGTGCGACTCTATATCTAAGCAAACCACTTACCGTTACAGCACACGAAGGCATACAAGAAACAAACATCGCAACAAAAAAAAGTGACACGATGCTCCCTTTGCTGGCCAGTGCTGAATGTGCTACAACTGCCGGTCTCTACTATGAGTGCGAACGTGTGACTCTACAATGGTACTGTTAGTTTCTTATTCTTACCGCTCCTCCCTCTGTAAACCTTTTGGACTTAACCCTAAACAGTATCACCTGAAGTAGACCCCTGGTATTGTTGCTCGCTGGGGTAGCTGTCTGAATCNAAGTCCTACTGTTGTATGAACTTGGAAGCACGTTAGGCGAAAGCCTGTTTTTGTCCTAGAAACCTGACCTGACCTGACCTGAGCGTTGTTGACCTATGCGAGAGTCGGTAGACCAACTGACTGAAGCTTCCGCAACTTGAGAGCGTGCCTCCGCGTGCGGTCCTCTGTCCGTAAAAGGTAGTACTGTTGCAGCTCCGGGCCCATACCACCTCTCACGATCTTCCTCAGGCAGATGAAATCTCCCCCGAGGTGTCGATACGCAATTGGGAACAGACCATTAACCTGTAGACGACCTTCTTAGCTGGTCCCGCGTAGTCCAACAACAAGTCTAGTGGTAGCACGTTATGCACGCTCCAT